CTTCCGATCTCCAGCAGCCATCCTTTCCTCTCCTTTGGCAGGGCCACCTGGAGAGCCCCCCCCCCCCTCCGGGAGAGGGTCTGAGCCGCTTCTTTCCGTGAAAGGGCAGTGGCTGCACTCCGTCCTGCAGCACCAGGGATGAAAGCCACGTTCACCTACATCCAACCGCAACCTACCTGCAGGCTCGCAAACTGATACTCCCATTCCTCTCTTCATTCTGGTGGACAGAAATCCTCATTTGCCTCAGCCAAAGGCCTGAGCATATAGACCAGGTTCACACAGCAAAATGAGCCACGGTGGGCTGTTGCGTCATCCGAACCCAGCAACGTGGCCTATCCACTGACAATACGCCTGCCCACTGCCCCGTTCTCAGCCACTATGGCTTTTTGTGTTGGATAAACGTGGCCTCTGTTTCTTTCCTCCTTGTCTTTGTCGCAGAGGGAAAGAGAGGGAGAGACAATTAAGCTTTTCCAAAGGCCTCCCAGTAAAGTCACTGGTGGGTATTTTGGAAGTGGAGGGTGGAAATGCACATGGTAGGCATGTGATGAGCAAAGCCAGCTGGAGCGGGGGGGGGCGGGTGTCAGACTAGATGACCTGGGGGGTACCTTCTGACTCACTCTGTTCGTGTGTTTCTAAAGCGCAATGCACAATTAGGCCAAGGAAAGCCTGAGGCCTTCTCTGGGCGATGTAAGGGCAGAACCACTGTGCTCTACTCCCTTTTTAACTGCTACCAGTGAGGAGATGAGAGGCAGAAATGGCTCTCTCCACCAGCCCCGCGGAAAGACGCCTGAAGTTCCCCTTTTCCCTCCTCCATGCCCTTTCCTTGCTCGCCGTGTTTTTTTCAGATTGCAGGCCTGTGAGCAGTGCCTGTCTTGTTCGACTGCCTGCATGGAAGCCGCCATGGGCAGCTTCAGCTTTGGCTGAGCTGTGGAATAAAAATAGTTGAAATCAGGACATCGCATTTAAGCCAGCCCCGGCTTCACCTGGAACCGGAGAGACATCGGTCAGCCTTTTGCAGGCCCAGAACCTGGCTGACCCCTCTGCAGCTCTGCGGGCAGCTACTTAAAGGATGGGGGTTTCACGCGCTTTCCAGCCTTCCCTCTGTCGCATAAGCTTCATTGCCTCTCCCTCCGCATCCTCAGGTACCTAACTCTTGCTTGGCCCGCTGATGCATCCGGATACCTGGCCAGGTTGCCTTGGCCCTGTTACTGCGGCAAGGATTGGACCCCCTACCTTGGGCAGCCTGTATTTGTCCCGAAAATGGGTCCTCAGGGTCGCTCGCTCCGCTTTGCGCTGTGCAAACTCGGCATCTCGTTCCATCCTGCAAAAAAATACCACGGGAAGCATGGAAGTATTGCTTAATTGCTCAGGTGCGCCACCTGTTCTGCAAGCTGAGCAGGAGACGCCCAGCTTTGGTCACCAGGGCAGAGGAAACACGACGGTTTTCCACCGCAGACGGTTAACTCTCCACCTCAGACTGGAGCGTTTCACACAGCTGGTCACTAACCGGCGTCGATCCACAGAACCGCTCCGCTTTCAGTGCCGCCTGATCCACCTGGGACAAGTGCCGGCCTCGTTCCTCTGCTCTGTTCCAACGAGTCACTCATGAGGGCTGCCGTGCTGTGCCGAGTGCTCGTGCCCAGTTGGTGTGGGATCCAGCGCTGCACGTAAAGCAACTCTAGCATCTGATACAGGGGAGCTGAGCTGCAGCCCCGTGGGCCTGACCCAGCCCACCCGAGGTGCTAGCTTGGTCCTCTGGGAGGGCCACGGCCAGAGGAAAAGGACACGAAGGCACGCCACGCGGGTTTGATCGAATCCTGACACTGGCAACAAAACTTCACCCTCTCCTGTTGCGGAGGGAAGCAGGTCAGCGGAGCGCCTGCAGGGCCCCTGAGGACAGGGATGCCCAGGGGGCCAGGGAATCGCTGCCTGTCCGGGAGGCTGGCTTACTCTGCCCCCCCAAGCGTAGGGCTGCCACACACCCCCTTGCTGAGGGTTGGTGGGCTCACGCATCTCCCCCTTGCCCCCCCCCCAGTGTGAGGCGCTGCTCTCTGCTGGCAGCGGTCGCTGGCAGCTGCAAGACGCCAGCCCGTGTTCCAGCTGCTTCCCCCCTTCTGCACTGCCCACCCTTGGAGAGGGGCCAGAAATAGAAGCCGGCCCTTGGGCTGAAGGAGATCCAGCTCTCCTGATCTTACGCATCTCCCCGCTTGCAGAGGCTTTAGCTGTCCAACGCCCCTCCCGAGGCTGAAATCCCCGTCTCTGTCTTACATAATCTAGAACACCTGCCCCATCATGGTTCTAGATCCATAACGGCTCCTTGTGGGTGCAAAGGTCCGCTTCACTGACAGACCTGCATTGCACAGTCACCCCAAATGGAAAGGACACCCCCCTTTTGTGGAGAGTGTCAAACAGTCCGTCCACTGAAATCCGTAGGGCTCGTGTTAGTCATGACTAACTTTTAAGTTCGATGGTTCTGTTTCAAGTTCTTAGTCGAGACCCAATCCAACGTGTCTTGAAGTTGGAGCGATTTGTATTCAGTAAACCTGGCTCTGGATACAGGATCCCTGCTTTAGCCATGTTTTGGATTATAGGATCCATTTTTTAAAACTCCGCCGTGCCCCTTCCTGAAGCCCTGACCACCCACAATCTCTCCCTTCCAAGGCATACCGGGCGCCATTTTCTTGCCGGAAAGGCAGGGTACCAATCTGTCGATAGATGTGTGGTTGGATGAAGGCTCGGAGTGTGATCCGTTTCTCCGAGCCAAGATCTGCTTCACTGACATCCACAGAGAGCAGCAAAGCAGCTTAAAAACTCACCATATCCTTCATCTTGATCCGTTTCCTAAAGAGTTTCTTTGGCAGGAATTTATGCGAACCATCGGCTTGGTTCACAGCAGCCTGGGCAAAGTATCTCCACAGGAGTCAGTGGAGAATTGATGTTCTCCACAGTGGAGCAGCCCGTTCGTTCTGAATATTTTTGGCTGAGCGGTCACTTGTACAGCAAACACGACTTCACCCCTAAAAATAGTTCCATGGAAATGCTCGCTCAGGGCTGCCTGCTTGCAATCCCGGCCGGCTTTCCGTACGAATAAAGAGGGTTCAGTGTGCCAAGTCCGGCATTTCGCTACCTCTTTCTGCTAAGACGACTACAGAGGAGTTTGTGTGCTCTTCCCTTGGCAGTGCAGCCTTCACTGGGAGTCAGGTAATTCGGTCAAATTCAAGAATCAGTCGGAGTTCCCCAGACTGGCGTATAACATCAGAGTTTTGGGGGACTCACTCCCAAGCTAGGGGGTCTAGGATTGCAGCCTAAGTCGGGGTAAATGGACTTCAGACTTGCGCTATATAATTTTATTATGATATTGTGCTGATATCCTACTGTTTCTCCTCTTGCAAGGTAGCTAAAACTCAAGATCCACAGATCAGAGTCTGGTGCAAAAAGGAAAAAGGAATTCTGAGCCCAAGAAATGGTTGTGATTAAGAGAATGGAATGCAGCTCAGAGACTTTCTACAGAGACCCAGTTCCTGCCCCCCACCCCACTCCACCCCACCCCACCAGTTTTCTTCACTGGAACCATAGAATTCGGGCTTGGGGAGGGAGAGATTATTTTGCTGCTGTTATTGTTTAAAAAACCAGGAATCAGAAAGCATTGCAGGTATACTGCAAATCACCTGCAGGTCTCCTGGGGATGGCCTGAATGTCACCTCTGGAGCAGAAACAGCTACTGAGAAAGGGTTGGATCCAAACCTCATCATACACATCAGGGTTCTAGTCCTCATTTGGCCATGAAGCTCGTTGGGACCAGTTACTCACGCTCTGCCTAACCTGCCTCACAGGGTTGTTGTTGTGAGGATATAATGGCACTGTGTAAGGTGTCTCAGGTTCCTCACAAGAAGAAAAGTGTGGGATATAAGTACAATGTAATCATCATCATCATGATATCATGCTCTTTTCCTTCTTGTAGGGACCCAAAGCAGTTTATCTTCCTCCTGTCCATTTTCTCTTCACAACAGCCCTGTGAGGTAGGATAGGCTGACAGTGACTGGCCCAAAGTCACCCAACGTGAATTTCTTGGGCCAGCAGAAATGGAGCCCAGCTCTCCAACACTACCTTGGTTCTCCAACAGAACTTCATCCTACTTAAAAGCGACCTTAAATCAATGAGGTTTAGTCATGCCTATTTTACTCTATTGACTTCCATGGGACAATTTTAAGCTTGACTCAATCTTTATCCAACCCAAATTCTTTTTCGAATGTAGATTATTCCATCCTATCTGCAAGCAGAGAATCAAAGAAGTTTGCTCAACATACAGCTTGGGTGTGAACTGGTGGGGAAGGGAAGTGGTAAAACGCCACACAATTCTGGGTACAGAGTCGCTTAGAGAAAGTGAGTAGTTTCTTCAAGAGGGGAGAGAAGCAGTCAGCCTAAAGGTTATGTGCCAGTGTGGCTCAGTCTTGGCTGTTCCCCCTCAGATCTTTAAAATCAGAAATGGGGAGGACCATAGCCCCAAAGTTCCTGAGGAAAATCTCTAGTAAGGAGTAGTTTTTCCCTGAGAAAACGATCCTGGCCCTTGAAGGCAAAAGCGGATTAAAAGATTAGGGGTTCATTAAAATGCATTCCTTGCATTGTACGCCTTCTGCCACGCGAACGCAAAGACCAGGTCGCTTTGTCGTTTCCTTTGCCACTTATTCGGAGTCAACAGAGACCCAGGATCTCTTTAACCCAGTTAGTGCTTGAATGGAAAGATCACTTCGCTTCCCTAGCCTGGATTCTTACGTCTGCACTGAAAATGGAGAGGATTGGGGACTGAACTCTGCATAAAAACTGCTTAGAGCAAGGGATTTGGTTTGGCACAGAGCTATTTTTAATTTATCTTAAAAATGGTGCTATTTTTGTTGAAGGCACGGCCTTTTTCAATGTCTTGCTTGCAGCAAGACGAGAATAGTTCCCTCAGATTTCCTGGTGCCCTTTTTTCTGCATATAACGATCTATTTACTTATTTGGTTTGCTTTCAAAAGGAATGATTCCAATGATCTCTTTTTAATTAAGTGGGGAAGATATTTTACAATGTAAGGAATATGAAGGATTTGTATTCTCTGTGTGTGTGTGTGTACTTTTGTGTGCTCCCTAATTTCACTCCGATATTCCCTGCAAACCATCCCATTCCACTGCCCAAAAAGATTAAGGCATATCCTGATTCAGTCATATCAAGAGTAGGGTTCTGGTTAAAACCAGAATTTATCCATGTCCAGCAGATAAAATCAGACTTAGACCTGAATTCATTCCTGTCTTCAGACATGGGTTCACCCACTGGCCTTCAGGGACTCATTCTGCTTCTGAAATCCTCATTTATACACAGGTGAAGAACAGTCATTTCCCACAATAGGACAGATGCTGGAATGGATGTGGAAATGTGCAGCATTTTCCACGACTTGCTTGCCTTGGATTTCCTGGGCAGGCTGGATACACTTGATGCGCTGAGATCAGTTCCCGTTTGATGCCTATTTTGGTCAGGAATTTTCCTCTCTCTCTCTCTCTCGCTCTCTCTCTGGGCATGATCCAACCCTTCCTCTCTCCAGGGAGCATGAAAGCCACATAGGTTTGTGGGAGATACATGCAGGAAAGGTCTCGCCATCTGCCTCAGACGATGAGGTGGACTCCAAGCCGAGAAAGCGCTAGCCACAATATACCCCCTAGCCTGCACGGGGCCACGGTTCTCAAATAACCGAGGGTTTCCAACCCGATGCCTTCCGGATGCGTTGGCCTATGACTGCCGCCCCCCTCAGCCGTTTGGGGCTGATGGGAGTTGCAATCTAAAGCTCCGAGGAGGTGTCCTCCTGAAAGGCAAAGAAGAGGGGAAGGCAAGACGCGCCGGGGGCGGGGTGCGGGGCGGCTCTCCTTGCGCACTCAATACTTACTTTTCCTCCACGAGCTGCTTCTGGTATTCCTCATACTCCTCCCTCGTCATCCCCGCGGCTTCGGCCGGCGACTTCTCGCCCTCGCCTTTCTCCTCGCCTCCCCCGAGCCCGCCGGTGAGGTTCTTCAGCTGCCCGCCGACCATCGACTTCACCATGAAGGCCATGGCCGGGCTGCGCGGGCGCGCAAGCCGAGGGGCCGCGGCGCGCCGCTCTCAGGGCAGGCTTGCGGGGCGGACGGCGCCCGGCGCTCGGCGCGGCTCAGATCAGCCTCGCCGCCCCGCGCGGGCTCCCATCGGTCGGGGCTCCGCTCAGGCTCGGCTGCAGCCGCGGCGGGGCGCACAGCTCCGGGGACCCCGACGGCGCCTCGCCCGCCCGCCGCCCGCCGTCCCGGGACTCCGCTCAGCACCACGACGCGCGGACAGCGACGCCCGCCCGCCCGCCC